AAATATCCTCTATTTTTAATTGCTTCTATAAATGTATAGATGGCTGCCAGTGAAAATATTATTTCTACATAGAGAAATAGAGGTATTTTTAGAGTAAGCTCATAATTTCATCCGTCTTTAGGTTGGCGATTTGGCGCACCTCTAAAATAGATGCACATAGTAACATTTATAACTTTTTAAAATGAAACCGGATGAAGACTAATTTTATATTAAAGTTGTATTACTCGAAGAGATCTACAACATTATAGTTGATAACTTTTCATTTCAAATCATTTAAAGCCCGCTTTTTTAGTTTTCGTAATTTGAAATTTATTTTATTAAAATTTTCAAATGACCTCGATTGTAGAAATGACATAAACCAAAGTTGTAGTACTTGAAGAGAATTAGGTTTTTGTAGTTGATTATTTTTTCATTTGAAATCCTTTAATACCCAAAAAATTTTGTTTCAAATGATCTCGGATGGAAAAATGACCTAAATCAAAGTTGTAGTACTCGAAGAGATCTACGACTCTATATTGGTTCACTTTTCATTTGAAATTATTTAGTGCTCAGAAAATCTGTTTTAAGTTTTTCAATTTTGAAATTCAAATTATTTGAATAGTTTTCAAATGACTTCTGGTGGATAAAATACTGAAACCAAAGTTGTATTATTCATAGAGATCTAATACTTTTTAGTTTAAACTATTTTACATTTGAATTCATTTGGGTCTCAAAATATGCATTACAATATTTATTAAAGTGAATACAAAAGATTGTATCAGCCACTTTGTACTAGTGATTCCGAGTCGTTGCGGTAAAGAAGCAATGTGTGAGGCCGAGGGTCTTGAGTTTGACCCTTGCAGCCACGTACACGCAAATAAAAATCTCATGACTTACGACGCGTGGTCTGAGTCAAACCGCCTCTACAAACCCATGGACACCAGAACACGCGGTACAGCCGTACAGATGTGTTTTCTTTTCCTCACTTCCTTATCCCAGACGCCTTCTTGACTGGTTCCATCGTCCGGACCTGTGATTTGTGAAGCCCCGATGCCCGATGGAGTTGGATGTGCGTTATCAAGCATAACGTTGGATGTGGTCGTAGTCAAATACGTGTTGTTCTCAAGCCTCAAGGACTTCGAAACCCGATTCGGAAGACCAGCAACTAAACATATCCAAAGTCAATCTGTCACACGAAAATGGCATTTTTGTTTGGGTCGATCCTAACCAATTATGAGCCCACTATCTATTTATAAAAAGAAAACTTTTTACTCAGAACGCACATCCTTTTGTATGAAAAATACCGTGAAGTAATTAAGCTTGCTCGACCTATATAAGAAAAAAATTCTTCCTGTGATATTTACTATATATTAGTATATATCAAAGCAGGTTGGCCGCCTCTCAGGGTGTCCACGTCGCCCCGAATTCTCCTGGCCGTCCGATCGTCCGTCGTGTGGCCTAGATTTCTTGCAGCCGCTTCTGTTGGAATCAGCTTCTGTCAGCTCCTCGTCGTTCTAGGTTGATTTTGCTAGCTTCTGCGGCTTCTCCTGCGAATCCGGTGGAGCAAATATATACTCGAGCTCCTGATTCTCTTTCATAAACTTCTCATCCTCACCTCTCTCTCTCTCTCCTATATGCTCCCTCCCTCGCTCCCTAGTCGCGACGCGACCGAGGCGACGGCGCGGGGCGACCGAGGCGGTGGCTGGCCCTCCGCGCGGCCGCAGCCACCCTCCTCCTCCTCCACCTCCTGGCCCTCCACCACGCCGCTTCCTCCTCACGACGCAAGGCAGCGGGTCGCGCGGCCTAGGGTTTGGCCCCTCCGTCGACGGTCGTCCCCACGGGCGCGCGGGCAGCCAGCGGAGGCCCTGACACGGCCGAGGGCTCTGGCGGCGGAGTGACCTCCATGGTGGGCGTGGATGACGACAGGGAGGTCACGTCGGCAACCTCGGCGGTGGATCTGAAGAAGCCGCTCGCGGGGCCCCTCCCGGCGGCGGATCTGAGGCTAGAGCACGGCGTGGAGCCCGCGCCGGCAACGGAGGCGATCGATCTGCGGCCAGCAGGCGGATCCAGCGCAAGGCCTCCCCATCTCCACTAGATCCAGCTGCATGGGCTCCACCGATGGCCGGTGTGCCGGCTGGACGTTGGCACACGTCCGCGAGCTGGCCCCCTCTGCCCCCCGCAGGTGGACACCGCCGTGGCTGCCACCCCGATGCGGCTTCGTCCCACAGGTTCGTCTCTCCTCGCGCGCCGCGCTGGCGGGGCGACGGCGCACCCGGCCTGCTGCGTAGCGCCGCGTGTGGGCCCCGACTGTGGGCGCCCCGACGGCGGTGGACGTCCTCAGCCACGGAGCGGCACGACAGGCCCATGCCGGTAGCCGCCGCCGCTGCTTGCCCAGCGCTGCCCCTTCTCGCCGCTCCGCGTGTGCACCACCAAACCCTAGCTACCTGCGCCACCGCTGCTTCCCCCGTACTGCCCCTTCCCACCGCTCCGCGTGTGCTCGACCAAAGCCTAGTTGCCTGTGCTCGGCGGCCATGCCCCTGGCCTGGGGTGGGTGCGAGCGCGCCGCTGCGAGCAGGCCCGCTGGCCGCCGCCGCCGCTGCACACTGTGGTCGTGGGCCGCGGGAGAGGTGGCCGCGGAAAGATTGCTGCCCGGCCGCTGTACACGTAAAGGTGCGCTCTCTCTCTTGCTTCCCTCCCCTTCCCTTGTCGGCTCCGGTGATGGATGGGCGGATCCGTCGGCTGTATGGTTGGATTTCTCAGCTCCCCATTCAATCTATATAATGAATCGAGTGCCAAAAAATCCCCTTTATCTCCTTTCCTACCTTACCGGCGTGCGCGAGGGCGCGCGTGATGAACTAGTATTATATAGAGCAAGTACGTAACCTTGACAGAGGACAACCATGCAAAAAGAAATATACCGAAATGGAAGAAAGTGTTGTTTATTTAACAACTGACCTATTCAGTGACTCATCATCGTCTCTTTTTTTAATTGCCAATTACAAGTAAATTAATTCGGATATTGTAGCCTAATAAGGTATAACTCTATTAGACTTGCTAGCATCCGGATATCCGTTTAAAAATGCTTATAACAGACGGCGGGCCCTGTGGCAAATCATTGGTCGATCTGGTTTCCCACACCGCCCTCTCACGCTTGTGTCAAGCACCACACCCTTGCAATATCTCAAGACGCCATATGAAACATGAGAGAAAAGCTATTGCAATGCAATGGTGAGTAATAGAGAAAACCATTGAAACAATTGTAGCTTCTCCAAAGAGAAAATATCAAACAAAAAATGCATGAACATCTTGAATCAATAATATAGAACATGAAACAGTCAATACCACAACACCAAAATAAAGAGACGACGAAACATCTCGAACCATAGGATGTGCAAAATATAGTAGCCCTTAGAGGCCAGAGCTTGGTCTAGTACATATGTATCTGCACATGTTTTACAGATGTTTGGCCACAGACCGCAGTGGTCTAGTCGTTGTGAGTCACAGATACTGCGCGTTAGGCGTTCTCCACATGTGGCGTTGCTTCGCGCGAGCTAGGAGGCCCTCTAAGGAAGGAATTTTTTGTTTCTGTGAAGCTGGCCTCAGAGCCAACTTTTGCGTCTGCAGGGACATGTCAAACTACTGTCTACCTTGGCTCTTTTGGAAGCAACGGGAAGGAAATCTCAGGGATGGAAAACCTCCACTAAGAACTAGAAGGATAATTAGAATGATATTCCCATGAATTACCCACCCAGAGAAAAGTCCGGAATCCTGGAGGGATTGGAATTTCCAAATTATGCCTTATGGAGGGAGCGATTTTAGGAACCTGTATCCTGATTGGGCTACTCAATTGGCAAGTGGGCTGGTGTACTAAACATATATTTGCTCGGCCTGGCCCGGCAAGCAATCGACATGAGCATTGATCATTTGAACGACCGGACGGACAAACAGGGGGCGGGAGCTCTGCTCCATTCTACCACCTTTCACCTTCTTTCTCCTCCCATCTACTAGCTCAACTATACCTGGATACTTCTAGAACCCTCTAGAAACTTTTGTTGTTTCACTATTTGGGTGAATCTGTTTTGGGTTGGTGACTGAGTTTGGCTGCTGTTTTAATGTCTGATTTTTTGTTCCACCCATTGTTGATTATAGTGAAAACTGAAAAATGAGAGTGGATTGGCTGGTTTATTGGGTTTTTACTCCTCAACTTGCAGTGTCAATTGTGTCTGTGATTGTTAGTATTCCTGTTGCTTATCTGGTGGTCATAAGATGAGTGACTAATTAATTAGCTAGCACATTATTGATGCTCTTTCATGTCAACATAACCTACAAGTTTGCACTGATCAAAATATATATATCGGGAGTTCTCTGCTTACCTCGTTGATTTGACTCAGGGACACAGGGTGCAGCTAATAACCTGAAGATCATTAATTCAGATCGAAACAGCTACAACTTACTTCCGGTGTCGATGGAAACAGAGTGACACGCATGGCCATTCTTACAGTTAATTTAAGCGCTTACACTTGATAAACAAACAGTGCAATCAAATTTTAACACCTCACAGCCTCCCCTGCAAACCTAGGTCTCTAGATAATATAGCTCTCATGAAGAGCTTGCGTGTAGATGTACAAATTCAAAGACTGTCTTCCATGCATTATTTGTTATATTATTACATCATGTTAATAGCACCAGAGAAGTTGTTGGCAAGTAGCAAAAACTAATAAGCACATCCAAATACAGATTACAGACAGTCGTTTCTTACGATACATATATATTAACATATATATAATGCATCGTGCTAATAACACAAGAGAAGTGCCAACAAGCAAACACTAATAAGCACATCCATAATACAGATTACTAATAAGCACATCCATAATACAGATTATACAAAGTCATTACTTATGATACATATATATATTAACATATAACAATTGATAACTACTGTAGCAAATATCCATATGCACGTCCTCTGGCATCCCTGCTGACCTGCACAGCAGCTGATGCATCCGATGCGATGAACTCTAGCAACCGCCGTGTCCTCCACCACCACAGCCCCCTCCGGCACCACCGTGTCCTCCACCACCACAGCCCCCTCCGGCACCACCGTGGAGGGCACTAGCAGCTGCAGCAGCTGTGACAGCTCCTCCAGCGTCAGCTCCGCTGCCGTATCTTGGTCTCGGTCTGTCCGACCTGTGGCCACAGAGGAAGACGGCGACCCCGAAGACGGAGAACAGTGCAATGGCGAGCACCACGAGCCACGGCCAGGCGCAGCCAGCTGCGGCTGCTGCTCCACCATTGGCGAGAGCACGTGCCATATTGCGAGGGCCTGCTTGCAGAGTTTCACTTCCTGATTTTTAGCCTTTAGCTCTTTTTTTTTGGTAGGATGACTCTAGTTGATTCTGGTGAACGAGTAGGGTGGAGAGCGGATGAGAATCGATTCTGGCAGGATTTTGGTGAAGATCGACTATGTAAGTTTTCTTTATCGCAGCTTCCCAAATGGTATTTAACTACTCTTCAGTCTTCACCAAAATCTCTGTGTAGTTTTTCTGTTTAGCTGAGAAAGAGTGTGAGTCTCATGGACAGTTTGCTCCTAGAAACTCAATCAAACGAGAGACGTAGCGATCTATAGCCGGACGAGAGACGCAGAGCTAGCCAGACTATATATAGCAGGGGTAAGTCATCGGATTGGTCGGTTGGTCGCGCCGACAATTAAGCAATAATTAGGAAACAAATTGATCTGCTGCAGTGCTGCACTCAGCCGAAAGTAGATAAAGAAATGGACATTGGCGGCTCGCTGTCGATTTCAGACAGCAAAACCTACGAGCAGCTGCCACGCAATGAGGCTCGTGTACGTGTTGCTTGAGATAGCGTCGTTCGTGTACTCGTGTTGGACGGCTTCTGGGTTGGTTCCTTTTCCGTTCCTAGCAAGCATTAGGCGCCTTCTGGGTTGGTTCTACCCGGATCTGTGTGAATCACGAATGGAGTTGGTTCTACCCGGATCTGTGTGAATCACGTGTAGTTCTCAAGGACTTCGATCGATCGGTGACACCCTGGCAACTGAAAATATCCAGCTAGATCTATCACACGCAAAGGATACTTTCTTTTGAAATAGTCATTTTGGCCCGCACAACTTTACTTTTAGGCCTAGTTTCATCTTACGATTATCAAACTGACCAATTTAGTTCTCAAACTTTGCACTTTGCGTTTAAAACTCATCTATAAACTACCAAGTGCATTTCATTACAGTCCCTGAACTATCATAGTCCAATGATGAAACTGAGACGAAAATGTAAGTGAAGACTGAAACAGACACTTTAATAATTATGGGATGAAATTAAACCTAAAAATAAAGTTTGAGATCTAAAACAGTTATTTTGAAAGTCTAAGAATGAAATTAAACCTCATACGATAGTTTAAGGACCGACCAAAATAGCTATCTTGCCTTTTTTTATCCTAACAAATTCTTAGCTCACAATCTATTTGTAAAGAATAACGGTTTTAGAGTGGTCAGAGAAATATGTATAGTCGTCCATCAAGAAAAATCAGTTGGTCAAAAAATTAATAAGTGGTATCCAGACAAAAGTATGGACCAAATAGATAGGGGCAATACTAAATAAAAGGGGTAAAAATCATAATCCATATTATTTTTTGTTTTCTATATCTATATCTATATCTATTATTAAAGTGTCAAAATTTTCTTTCTATCCATCTCCTCCTAACTACTCGGACAAGTGGAGAGTTTCTTTCATCTTGCTTTTTTTTTTACTTCCCAAACTACACTCATGCCCTTCATGTTGACCCGGACTCATCACCCTTACTCAGACGAGAGTCCGGACAACTTTCATCCAACGATGATGAATATGGTGTCTCATCATACAACGAGCACCCTGAATTCATCAATATGATCAAATAGGTGAACGATGAATTTGCAGCTTTGTTGTAGAGCAGGAGGAGCGCGGACAGACCTCGACCATACCTTTGGCTGCCCTAGCGCTTTTGAGGCAACTTGCAAGAACCCTTACATCCGAAAAACACAGGTACAAGTTTTGATCCTTTATTAGATTGGTGGTTTGGGCTTGTCTGGCTAGCTCAACTGTTTTCGGGTCATCAAATTTATCATCAAGATTTCTCCGACAAAGTTCTCTGCTTCGTTTGAGCATTATTTGCCATGTAAAACCATAGGTTCTCTGATCAAACAGTCGAACCCATCACTACACTAGTTTTTTTTTATCAGGTACAATTTGGACGTACACAGCCCATACACTCCACACTCACACGCACACACACGCGTGTGTATCTGTTTGATCAGAGAACCCACATCACTACACTAGTTCATTTGACAATAGCCTCAATGAAAGCAACAAAATAAACCAGAGATCGTTCGCGTTTCCTCGCGAGCTTGAATCCTAGTAGTTTCCAACATATTGGTGGACCACGAACTTGGGGTGTAATTTCAGTGTTGAAGATATCTGCTCGAACCTATCATTACATATATACTGCTTAACTAGTTGATTTGACAATAGCCCCAATGAACCAAGACACGGCAACTTGGTGACCGCGTCCAAGACACGGCGGTTGTGTGCTCCTTCCAAATGAACCAGAAGAAGAACGAGTAGAGGGTAAAAACACTTGCGCATAGAGGTTCCAAGCGTATATATAGATAAGAGTACGAATTCAAAGATGATCTTCCATGCATTATTTAACATTACATCATGCTAATAGCACCAGCAGAGAAGTTGACAACAAGCAAAAACTAATAAGCACATACATAATAGCATTATTTAACATTACATCATGCTAATAGCACCAGCAGAGAGTACATATTAATCACATGACGATTACTAAAAACAAGTAAATATCCATAAGCACGTCCTCTCGCATCCTGCTGATCTGCACAGCAATCAGCAACTGATGCCGCTGACGCATCCGATGCGATGAACTCTAGCAGCCGCCGCCACCACCGCCACCACAGCCACCTCCACCGCCACAAGCTGATGAACCTCCAATAACTGCTGCAGTGGCAGCACCGTTGTATCTTGGTCTGGGTTTGTCCGAGCTGTTGTCGCCACAGAGGAGGACGGCGAGCGTGATCGCCCAGACGGAGAGCAGGGCCATGCCGAGCACCGCGAGCCACGGCGGGCCGAAGCCAGCTGCGGCTGCTGCTCCACCATAGGCTAAAACTCGTGCCATATTGTGAACACTCAAACACGCAATTACGCAAAGCGGAGGCTGCAGGGGGTCGATATAGCCGGACGAGACGAGCAGAGCTAGCATGACAATATATAGCACCAGCCACCAGTACGTCATCCGATCGATCGGTCGGTGGTCGCGGCGACTAGTATTAAGCAGCAGTTAAAGTTTAGGAAATGTATTAGGAGCTGCCACACCCAATGAGCCTCGTGTTCTGTTTGTGATAACAAAACGTATACAAAACGGATTAGTAAGTCAAGGCAGCCAGCAGTAGCTAGTCCAATCGGATTCCGCGTAACTTAAAAAAAAAAGGAGGCCATATACGTCCTGGTATGGGCAATAAAGGGACACCGATCATTTTTTTTGGGTTACCTAAACCACATTTTTTATTATTATACTCCACGGACTCTTTCGTTTTATTTTCGAACTTGACTTTTCCTGTTTAGTTTTTTCTCCCACGTACGTGATGTGGTTGGTGTAAATTAGAAAAATCAAATACAAGGACTGGATTCGAACGGATGTGTTTTATATTTAGATTCAGAGATAAGAGACTTCACCATCAAGCTATTATACTGTTTCTGATTTTGGTGCAAGAGTCATACTATCTTATATTTGAGTGTAACACCCGTGTTTTTGCATCATGTTAAAATCCACTAAAAAATTAAACTTTTTAAAATTTACAACAAATTAAAACTTGATTAGTTTATTTTTCGCAAAACCGTTTTAAAAATGTTTTCCGAAAACCCTGCATTAAAAATCCACTATATGCATTTGTGTGTCGCGTAGGATTTAATTGTAGCCTTAGGAATATTTTCTAGGATCAGAGAATCGCTTCGCATTTAAATTGCCTGCGCTTTGGTTGCTTGAGTGTATGTTTGAACGCTTGCGTGATTGCTTGAATGCTCGAATGTTTGCTTGCATGCTTGTATGATTGCTTTTCTGGAATTTATTTGCGGCACCAAAATAACTTCCCTTAATTACCAATTGCATTCTTGAATTATTTAAAACCTTTTCTTTATATTATAGAGGTAGATAATACATCATAGATATAAATACTATTTTTTTCTCTAGGAATTATAATAGCCATCGCATTAATAAATTATAGGTTTAATTTTTCTTTCTGATATTCCCTTCTCAATTTACATTTAGTTAATTTATAATCATTAGAAAACCTGGAAATATGAGATCATTACTTTTAATTTCTATCATCTCCTACAGCTAAAAAGAAAGAAAGTAAGACCACCGTTTCGTGCGACAATCATCGTTCCGTCGGTCCGCTCCTTCCCTGCGATACCGCGCGTCGTGTAAAAGGAAACGAGCGATCCGCCCCTTCCCTGCGATACCGCGCGTCGTGTAAAAGAAAATCCCCCTCGCACGATTCGCCCCGCCCCGCGAGCTATCTCTCTGTCCCGTGGAACCGCCGTCCGCCCACGTACGTCGCCCCAGCTCCGCAGCTCGCCCCGCGTGCGTGAAACAGAAGCAGACGACGGAAGGCGGAGCAGCGACCCAGCAGCGGAGGCGGCTCCTCCTCGCCCTCGCCCTCGCCGTCCTCGGTGCCTGCCTTAGGGCTCCCCCTCCTCTCTCTCTCTCTCTCTCTCTCTCTCTCTCTCTCTCTCCTTCTCCCTCCCTCTCCCTCTCTCTCCCGGAGCGGCGGCGCCCTCGGCACGCGGTGCGTGGCCCGCCGGTGACCGTCGCCGCGGCTGTGCTGCATCCTCATGGTAGTCCGCGCCCGTTCAACGAAACCCTAACTGCCTCTTCCTTGTCGCCGCCGGCAGTGGCTCAGCACGGTGGAAGCAGAGCCGTCGACGGCGCTCCCTGGCTAGACCTCGCCCTTGCCTATCTGCTCATCTCCAGCCGCCCTTCCCGCTGTAACTACCTCTATTCTGTGATTGCCGTGGATTGATGTGGGCTGCCTCATTTCAGATTTCTTGCGTAGGGTTTATGGATTGATATATGGGTTGCTCTACTTTGGGATTTTCCCCTTCGATTTTGGGTTTCTATATTTGATTTGTGATTCAAATTCACGGATCTGGTGTATGTACCTAGAGATTTAGCCATTTAGGCCTTCAGATGTGGAGCGCCATGTCCTTATCTATATTTTTTTTGCTTCATTTCCTAATCCTAC